TTTTATTTTGTTTGTTTTCCTCCTAGTAAATGAGATTTTTTGTTGTGTTTGTTGTTTGTTTTAAGGAAGCCTGCTCCAGCATCGCCCAGATGTGTGCGGGGGCTGGGCGAGGGGGAGAGGCCTGGTCCAGCTGCAGGGAGAAAGGAGGGAGGACCACAGCCTGGAGGGCGGGGGCGGGGTGCTCAGAGGGCCTGGGACTCCCAGCCCCCTCGGCGCTCCCTGCCCTGCTGGCTGGCCTCCTGCTCTGCTTTCCCTCTGCTCGGCCTTGCGCAGGGGCCTCTCTCCCAGTAACAGCTCCGTCACTAGCCTGGAGAGGCTGCCCCGGCCCTAGTGGGAATGCGGGCTCGGGGCTTTCTCAGACGGTCAGTGCCCGAGACGCCTTCCCGCTGCTGCTCCGCCCCGTCCCAGCTGCAAAAACAACAGCCCATACCCGAAGCCCTGTTATTGCAGCCGAGAGCGGAGCCTCAGTGGACGGCGGAAGGAGTGGGGATGGGGCCGGCCAGCCCTAGAATGGACCCGGGGGCAGGGGCGCCTTGGGGAGGTGGAGGGTCCCCTCCCGCTCCCCTGGGGAAGGGGAAGCCAGGCTCGGGCGTGTGGGGAAGGGGCTTTCGGAAGCCGGTGGGACTCAGGACCGAGGGCCAATTCTGCCAGTGGCCTCCCCGGTTCCCTGGGGACTGCGGGAGGTGGGGGCGGAGGGGGGAGGAAGTAAAGCCACTTGGGAACCCGCTAAGCCAAGTGGGCAGGAGGCGGCACCACCGTGGCTCCCGGGCAGGCCAGGGCCAAGGCTTTCCCACGGGGTGCGACTGGCCACTGGGCTCGGTGCAGCCGTCCACTCTGGGCTGGGGCCCCTGAGTCCCGGGGGCTTTCCATGCTGTCGTCCCTTCTGCAGGCAGGGGCACAGGCCGGATTCAGAACCCCCCAGCGCCCTCAGGTGTGCGCTGAGCATCTTAGCGAGGGCAGGGCTCGGCTCGCGCAGACCTGCCCCCCAATTTTCTCGGCATCCCTTCCGGTTTCATCTGTTGGCTTCATACTCGCGTGACAGGGCTAGGGCCGCAGAGCTTGTGTTACCAAGACCCTGAAGGCCTCAGAGGCTGATGGAATCCTGGCCCCTGTCTCACCCCAAAAGGCCATTCCTCCCACTCTAACATGAAGGGCGTGGATGTTGTGGAATTAGGCGGCACTGTGGAAGTCTCTGGAGACAAACCTAGGCTAGAACCTACACTCTGTCCCCACCAGCTGTGAGGGCACACCATTTAGCCTCTCTGAGTCTCCGCTGTAAAATGAAAATGTTAACATTTACCTTGTAGAGCCTTGGGAAGCTTAGAGATAATATATATAAAGTCTCTGGCGCAATGTAGGTGCTGCTTTTTTTTTTTTTTTGGAGGCAGTCTTGCTCTGTCACCCCAGCTAGAGTACAGTGGCGTCATCGTAGCTCACTGCAATCTCAAACTCCTGGGCTCAAGCAAGCCTATTGCCTCAGCCTCCCGAGTATCCCAGCTAATTTTTTGTAAAGACAGGGTCTCACTCTTGCTCAAACTGGTCTCAAACTCCTGAGCTCAAGCAATCTTCCCACTTCAGCCTCCCAGAGTGCTAGGACATAGGCGTGAAACACCCCTCAGCCTAGATACTTCTTGAGTAGAGGACATGATTCTTATTACTCAAGCCCCCAACAGTGAAATTAGCTGAGATTGGAAAGAACTTTCACACCTCAATTCTCAGCTCAGATATCCTCGCCCCCTACATTCTGCACAATGTAGAAGGCAGCTTGAGAAGTTTTGCCTCCCGGCACCCCTCCCTCCAACTCTGGTCAGGAACCAGTTAATCAAACTACTCTCTGAAGTTAGACAATGACTGCTGTTGTTAGGATGTTCCAGGCCATAGGCATCAAACCAGAGACAGAAACTATTTCTGGGACAAGGAAGAGCCAGTCAGGAGAGGATGAGCCTTGGGCCTCTTGGAGCCACAAGCAATCTCTATCTTCAGGTTAGTCGTTGAGAATCACTTATGCACCAAGAGTGGCAGGAAGCTGCTTGGACCCAGGACATAGCCATCCTGACTCGGCTGAATCATTATGCAAGGTCACTGCTCTGAAACGTTGTCAGGTAGTTACAGTAACTGATGAGTCCTTGAAAGAGAGGAGTTATTGAAATAAAAGCGGCATGATTTTTCTCTGGATTATTTAGTCGTCGAAAATACAACCAGGTCCACTAGAAGCACATTTTACGGAGATTTTTTGTTCGTTTTTGTTGTTGTTGTTGTTGTGAGACAGGGTCACTCTCTGTCACCTGGACTACAGTGTTATGGGGATTTAAAAAAAATTCTCTCATGTAATGAATGTGCAGAAGTACTACTTTAAAGATGAATAGTAGTACATGTCTCTAAGTCTTTGAGATTGTTACTGTTTATCGACGGCCACTGTTATTATCATCTCCACTGACAGAAAAAGGTCACCCGGCTTGTGAGGGACAGAATTAAGGAGATCTGTGTCACTTCTAAACCCAAGCTTTTACGTGGTTTAATATTCAATGATATCGCTACCATAGCTAAGACAATAACTTACTGGCTAGTGGGCCTTGATCTTCATATACTTTTCCCAGAATGATAGACTATCGGTTTTCGTCTACCTACGTGCTGGGTGCAGCCTCACTTAGCAGCGTGGCCCTATTGATTGTACAGTAACTATCTGTTGACCAGAACCAGCCCATCTCATCGGGCTGTCATGGACACCAAAAGAGATAAGGAATTGGAAATTCTGTAACCAAAAGGCAAAATCCTCTAAAGTGTAGGGGATGACGCCGTTTATTAGTAGTGAGGACCCTCTTGTACAGAGGCCATTATCCAATATGTAGTGTTGGTGCTTGATATAATATAAAAGAGCACAATAAACATCTGTTATGTGCTGAATATGTTGATCTATGAAGAGCAATAGTTAATATACAACCCTAATAACGATAAGATAGTATATTTTTTCTAATCACCCTGACATGTGATTATTACTACTACCTGTGTTTCTCATTAGACTTTCCCTTCAAACTCATAGCAATCAACCATGTTCAAGTGTCAGAGAAGCTCAAGAACAAAGCCAGATTCCACAAAAATATAAATCCATATTTCACGCAAGATTAGCTTCTTTAGCAGAAGCAACAAAATAATGAATTCCTGCCTTGGCCAAGAATATGGGTTGGGCTCCTTGGAGGACAAGAGAATCTTAGTCAAGGCTCTAGCAACTCAAATAGTTAAGCCAAAGGGGAATTTGTTAAGAAGTCTAAGTGTGGGTCTACCTTCAGGCATGGCTAGACCTACAGGCCTACAGCAGCACATCTCAAATCATCAGCTCATTTGCTGCCTCCCTCTAGGGCTTGGCTCCACTTGCCTCTTCTAACTTTCTCCTACACCAGACAAGATCTCTCCATGAGGCAGGAAAGGTGGCCACTGACTGTCCAAAGCCAACCTCTTTACAGCAGATGATCTAAAGGGCAGAACCCTGCTTTCTTCCAGGGCCCGTAGAGCAAATCCCAGGGAAGGACTGCACGGCTTTGCACAACCAATTGGCATGGAAGTTGGATGATGGACCAGACCTGGGCGGTGTGACAGGCCCGTGGTTGGGGGCCACTCTGGGCACCGGGAGGTGCTGGGATCGACAATTCCACCCAAATCACATGGGATGCGGAGGGGCAGTTCCCAACGGAAAGGGGGTGCGGGACAGACAAAAACAACAGGTGTCCACGACAATAGCACTTGTTCTCAGGTTGCGTAGAGACAGGACTTATCCACCAAAACAATCAGAGAAGGATAAAAACAGTAGAGCGTTCACATGCCCAAGTGTTGAGTCAAAGCCCTTCAGGAAAAGGAAGTGATCCTATGGCCTAAAGGAGAGTCTTTAGAACAGAAGGAGAAAGACACAAATATTTTAGTCAGCCTCCCTCCTCCCAGTTGACAATTGTCATCATAATCATCTTAGTCCCCAAGTTAAATTCAGGAAGCTGTTATTTGATGATTATGCAAACAATTAGTCAGAATGCTTGGAATTGGGACACTTCAGGAAACTCTGGGAGATTTGATCGACATAATCATATTCCTGGTTGACAGATTGGCCTAATGAAGGATTTCTCATTTTTCTTACAATTTCTTTGTGATTATAAATGGAGTATGTTGATTGTAGACATTTTGGGAAATACAGAACAGTACACAAATAAAAATCACTCTTGCATTTATTAGGATTGGGTATGACTACAAGTGGCAGAAACCCCAAGATAACAGTGGCTTAAACAAGGCTGAAGTTTATTTTGCTGTCAGGGACATGAAGTCAAAGGCAATCTAGGCAGGTACGGGAGCCCCACTCCACAGAGGCCTCAGGGTGCCCAGGCTCCTTCCAGCTCACTACTCTGCCATCCCTGCAGTATGACCCACACCACCCTCATCATCTAGCTGGCAGAGCAGAAATGCAGCAAGAAGGAGAAAGGGATAAAAAGGCCAAAGACCCATCCCAGCTATCTTTCAGGGAAGGTTCTGAGGAGCAGCAATTCAGCACTTCTGTACCATCCCACTGGTAAGAACGTAGTCACATGGCCACGTCTACCTGCTAAGGAGACTGGGAAATGTAGTCTTTATTCCAGGTGGCTATTTGCCCAGCTAAAACTCTATTACTATAGAAGGAGACAATGGCTTTTGGGGCAATTCAGGGTCTCTGATAAACCTGTAATTATACTACCCAGAGATAGTCACTGTTATCATCTTGATATATATCATATACATACACACAGACACCCCTATATGCATATATGTGTATGTATAGGTGTGTATGTGTATACATGTTTTTATTTACAACACATATAAATAACATATATATTTTTAGAATGAAATTGAGGTCCCTCCAAATATACTATTTTTGCATCTTGTTTTATAAAAAAAATTGCGGACTTTAAACAGGCTCTTATTATGTATTTTGGCATCAGGTTATTTAACAATTACAGCTAGAGTTACTTTAAAAAATTGGCCCTTTCTCTGCAGAATCACCATGCTGGCTGGGATCCTGAACACAAAGCCTGAAAACTGGAGGGCCTTCAAGGCCCTCACAGCTGCTCAGTACAACGGGGCTCAGGTCCGCGTGCTTTCTGCACTACACTACTTCCACTTTGGCCAAACCAATCACACTCTTGTATTTCTCTGCAAATTTCCTGCCGGCAAGGTTCCAGCATTTGAGGGCGATGTTGGATTCTGTGTGTTTGGGAGCAATGCCATGCCTACTATGTGAGCAACGGGGAGCTGCGGGGAAATACTGAAGAGGCAGCAGCCCAGGTGGTGCCATGGGTGAGCTTTGCTGATAGCGACATAGTGCTCCCCACCAGTGCCTGGGTGTTCCCCACCCTGGGCATCATGCGCCACAACAAATAGGTCATCAAGAAGACAAAGGGGGAAGTGAGGCGAATTCTGGGGCTGCTGGATGCTCACTTGAAAACAAGGACTTTCCTGGTAAGCAAATGAGTGACACTGGCTGATGTCACAGTTGTCTGTACCCGATACCAACTGCTGGCTTCTCGCCTGCATTAACCAGCCCCAGTTCTGGGCTGTCTTGGGGGAAAGTGAAACTGTGTGAGACGGTGGCCCAGTTTGATGCTAGAAAGTTTGCAGAGTCAACCTAAAAAGGACACCCTACTGAAAGAGAAGGGTTCATGGAAAGGGAAGCAGAAGTCCCAGGCCGAAGGGAAAGAGGAGAAAAAGGCAGCTGCCCCTGCTCCTGAGGAGGAGATGCACGAATGTGAGCAGGCCCTGGCTGCAGAGCCCAGGGCCGAGGACCCCTGTGATCACTGGTCCAAGAGTACCTTTGTGTTGGATGAATTTAAGCGCAAGTACTCTAACGAGGACACACTTTCTGAGGCACTGCCATATTTTGGGGAGCACTTTGATAAGGATGGCTGGTCCCTGTGGTGCTCTGAGTACCACTTCCCTGAAGAGCTCACCCAGACCTTTATCAGTCTCAAACTTATCACTGGAATGCTTCGGCAATTGGACAAGCTAAGGAAGAATGACTTTGCCAGTGTTCTTTGGAACCAACAATAGCAACTCCATTTCTGGAGTCTGGGTGTTCCAAAACCAGGAGCTTGCTTTTCTGCTGCGTCCAGATTGGTAGGTGGACTACAAGTTACATACATCATGGAACCTGGATCCTGGCAGCAAGGAGTCCAGGTGCTGGTTTAAGAGTACATTTCCTGGGAGAGGGCCTTTCAGCATGTGGGCGAAGCCTTCGATCAGGGCAAGATATTCAAGCACACATCTCTTGCCATTGTCTAGATGCCTGTACCTGCCCTTCTGGGAGATGGGGGTCATTAAAGGAAACTAAACATTGAAAAAAACCTGAACACCCCCAAATGTAATGCTTTATAATTTTCTTTTAAATAAATGTGCTTTTTTTTTTTTTTTTTTTTGAGACAGAATCTCACTCTGTTGCCTGGGCTAGAGTGAGTGCCGTGGCGTCAGCCTAGCTCACAGCAACCTCAGACTCCTGGGCTCAAGCGATCCTCCTGCCTCAGCCTCCCGAGTAGCTGGGACTACAGGCATGCGCCACCATGCCCGGCTAATTTTTTCTATATATTTTTAGTTGTCTGATTAATTTCTTTCTATTTTTAGTAGAGACGGGGTCTCGCTCTTGCTCAGGCTGGTTTCGAACTCCTGAGCTCAAACAATCCGCCCGCCTCGGCCTCCCAGAGTGCTAGCATTACAGGCGTGAGCCACTGTGCCTGGCCTTTAAAAGATTTCTTTAAAAAGCCAAAAGAAAGTAGGCAAAAGGCACAGACATTTTCCCAAAACTACATGGTCAATAAACATGTGAAAAAAAAAATGATCTAATTAGTAATCAGGAAAATGCAAATTAAGATCACAATGAAATATTCTTTTATACCTAACTGATTCCCAATAAAGAAGATATTTGATAATACCACCTGTCAGTAAGGATGTAGATCAGCTGAAACTCTTTAAATACTACTGAAGGGAGCATATATTAATTTAACCACTTTGGAAGTCTAGACCTATTTGTAAAGTTGTACATTCATATAGCTTATGATCCAGCTGTTCCACTTACAGATATACCAAAGTATACAAAAGAATGTTTATAGTTTGTATTCACCCCCCCCCCCAAAAGACTGGAAAGAATTCAAATGTCTGTGGAAGAAAAATGTATACATAACTTGTGCTAAAGTCACATGATGAAATATTATGCACCAGTACATATAAGAGAACTACATTTACATATAACAACATGCATAAATTTTAGCAATGCCCTCTTGAGTGAAAAAGGCAGGTTGTACAAAGTTACATTATAATATCATTTGTAAAAAGCTCAAAAACAAGCAAAACTAAGCAATATTTTTGTTTAGGGGTTGTAATATATACTAAATTATTTTTTATGAAGCAAAAGAATATTAATCAAAATTTAGTTTACTAGTTATTCTTGGGTGTGGGAGTAGGCAGGGAAATAGAGTAGAGGAAGAGCACACACATTGATGTGATATTGGTAGCATTTTAGGGTTTTTAAAAATATATATATATATACAACATATATTTTTTAAATTGTAAAATACCCATAAAATTTACCATCTTAACCCTTTTTAAGTGGACAATTCAGTGGCATAAAGCACATTCACATTGTTGTGCAATGTAAATACACAACCATCTATCTCTAGAACTCTTATCTTGCAAAACTAAAACTCTGTAACCATTAAGCAATAACTCTCCTCCTTTCCCAAGCCCCTGGCAACTACCATTCTACTTTCTAGATCTATGAATTTGAATATTTTAAGTTGAGGGATTTGTTAATGAGCGTTCATTCTGTTTCAGGCTTCATAACTTGCATATATGTATGTATACATATACACACATATAAATTATTTCATTTGTATATAATAGTACATACTTTATTTTTCAAGCCTTGATATATGGAAAAATAAAGAATGACAATATCCAAAATTGGTCATAACATGGCAAGTGCTAGCAAGCATTTAAATTGACACAATTTTAAAGACATTTTAAAATTAACAAACAGCAAAATTGACAAATATTTTATGGCTTTTTAGAGCAATTGTATTTTCAATTTCAGTTTCTGATTGTTCATTGCTAGTATACAGAAATATGATTAATTTTTGTATCCTTGCTAAACTCGTTTAGCTAAACCTCATAGTTCTAGGAGGTTTTGTTATTGTTGATTCTTTGGGATGTTCTATGTAGACAATCATGTCTTTTGTGAATAGGGACAGTTTTCTTTCTTTCTTTTCATTCTGTATGCTTTTTATTTCTTTTTCTTGCCTTATTGCAAGGGCTGGGGCTATGTGTATGTTAAATAGGAGTGGTAAGAGTAGATATCCTTGCTTTGTTCCTGATCTTAGGGAGAAAGCAGTCTTCCACTATGAAGTATACTTGCGGGTGTAGGATTTGTAGCTGCACTTTATCAATTTAAAGAAGTTCCTTTCTATTCCTAATTTTCTGAGAGTTTTTAACATGAATGGATGTTGAATTCTGACAAATGCTTCCTCCTACATCAGTTGATATGATTATGTGGTTTTACTTAGATCATTAATATGGCATATTAGCTCAATTGATTTTCAAATTTGAATCAGCTTTAAATTCTTTTTATGTATTGCTGGATTTAATTTGCTAATATTAGCAAATTTGTTTTTGTTGTGGATTTTTGCATTTATGTTCATGGCAGATATTGGTCTGTAACTTTCTTTTCTTGTACTATCTTTGATTTTGGTATTGATATAATCCTTTTCGGGGGCAATTTGTCAACTGTAACAAGTCTTTAAAACGTGCTTGCTTAAGGATTCCACTTTGAAGAATTTATCTTAAGGAAACAGGTTTCTATTACACAGACTTTAGGTTCAGCCTGGATTTAACTATGAACTTATCCCCTTATCAACTGCTTAAATTCTGTTGGTCTGTTTTCCAATCTGTAAAATGGGGATAAGAGGACTTATTTCAGAGCTGTATTGGATGAGACAATTCACACAATGTCCAACACCTAGTAAGCTTTAAGTAAATGGTAGCTCTTGGTATTATGTTATACTCTCCAGCCTCTGTAGGAGGACAAGTCTGTGCAATCGGAGGACATCATCTTTGCTCCTGTATTAGCTTCACTTTGAATCTCCTTATTGGTGGGTAGTCTCCTCATCCCTAATTCCTCTGTCTTCTATTCCATATGCTAGGCCTTGGGAATACAAGGCAAAAAAAGATACAATCCCTGTCCTCAGTGAGTTGAACCCATTAGAGAGACACAGGCGCAAATAGCTCCATGCAATCCAACAGCCTTTTAATGTGGCGTCTGCCCATAGGCCCCAGACGCATACTCAGAGCGTCTGTGTCAAGACACTAGGCAGTCACCGAGCCGCAGGGCCAGGAAGGAGGGCCGCAACTTCTCCAGTTAACCTCAGGTCGTGAAGGGGAGGCGTAGCGACTTGCTGTTCCCATAGCAACGAGACGAGCCACCCTCTTCGGGCCTGTCGGGTCACGTCTGTTCAGCGTCCCTAGAGCCAGGAAAGGCCACTTCCGTTCCTCCAGCCCCGGAGGCGTGGAGTAGCTCGGTTGTAATTGAAAAACCCGAGTCCCACGTCTCTGATTGGCTCAGACAGATAGAGAGGGCGGGAGATAGCGGCGAGGGGCGTGGCTTACCGCCTCTCAAACTTGAATGCGTTCTCTCAGAGCGGAAGCCGACCTCGCCCGCCCCGGAAGTGCAAAGCCTGCTGCCCGGCAGGTTTGGGTTGTGAGGGTGAAGGCGGCTGGCTACCTTCGAGATGCCGGGAGCCGCGGCGAAGGGCTCGGAGTTGTCCGAGAGGATCGAGAGCTTCGTGGAAACCCTGAAGCGGGGCGGTGGGCGGCGCAGCTCTGAAGACATGGCTCGGGAGACCCTGGGGCTGCTGCGCCGGATCATCACGGACCACCGGTGGAGCAACGCGGGTGAGGCAGACGTAGTTCCACCCTCGGCCGCGGCCCCTTGTCGTTCCCGATCCCAAGGCCGAACGTCGCCCAGGCCTCACCCTCTGTCTTTTGGACTTCAGGGGAACTAATGGAGCTGATCCGCAGAGAGGGCAGGAGGATGACGGCCGCGCAGCCCTCCGAGACCACCGTGGGCAACATGGTGCGGAGAGTGCTCAAGATCATCCGGGAGGAGTATGGCAGGTCAGGCTCAGGTCCTGGGCTCCACGTTGAACCTAGTGGCGCATTTTGCACGAGCCCTTCTCCCTGCTTGAGATTTTATTGGAGTTGAGCAGCTCCTGTTACCTACCTGACCACTCCTTCTCACCTCCCTCTTTGGATCTTTTTGCCTTCATAGACTCCATGGGCGCAGTGACGAGAGCGATCAGCAGGAATCCCTGCACAAACTCTTGACATCTGGAGGCCTGAGCGAGGATTTCAGCTTCCATTATGCCCAACTCCAGTCCAACATAATTGAGGCGATTAATGAGCTGCTGGTGGAGCTGGGTAAGAGGCCTGATCACTGGGTGGACAGGACAGGTCTCGGGCAAATAAGGGAACAGAAGCTCCTAGAAGTTGTTTATAAGCAGAGATGGGAGATTACCAGCCTACTGGTTCTGAGGTTTGTCCTCCTTCCTGATGAGGAGATTTTGGAACAGGCAGCAGGACTAAAGTAATACCGTCTCTACTTTTCCTTAGACTAATCCTTTATAGACTGCATATCCACTGTGGCAGAGACTATATTAAGTCAGAGCTTTATTTTCATTTTAAAGAAAACGAAGTCCCTAAAAACCACAGTTTAGTTGACAGACCCTCTACTGAACTTCCTCTTCAATGTTTACACACACGTATATGCCACCTCCATCCCCCTTGTCTTTGTGACCCAAGAGACCTGCAGATACTCATTACAATCAGAGAGTGAAGAAGCTGCTTCCAAATTCCTCCCATTTTTCTTCTCTGGCCTCCCTCTCTCAGGTGGAGATGCTGTGGCCCCCTTTTGGAGGAAGAGTTCTTTTGGGGGAATCTCTGTTTACCCCACTCAGCACTTTAGGATTTCCCAGATTGCCATTTCTTGCCTGAATTCATTGTCTTCAAAATCAGTTGTAAGGAGCTGTGTTGTGGCAGGGAGGTGGTTGATGAGTAGCAGTGCTTCTGGGAAAGAGGGCAGACCGAGAACTTGGAAGATAGAAGATCCCAGAGGAGTGGGGCTTTTAAAAAATTGTGACATTTTGGCCGAGCGCGGTGGCTCACGCCTGTAATCTTAGCACTCTGGGAGGCCGAGGCGGGCGGATTGTTTGAGCTCAGGAGTTCGAGACCAGCCTAAGCAAGAGTGAGACCCAGTCTCTACTAAAAAATAG